GTACACATTGGCTGGTAAATATTGCGGGCCCCGGGAGATCTTCAAACGTCCGTATAATTAAATCCGGCAAAAATGCTTCGTTCGGTCGCGTCGTCGTTCGTCTTCGACTTTCTCGCTCTTTTTCGTATTCTTTTTCTCTTTCCTTCGTCTTCTTTTTCTTTTTTCCCCGTTCATCTTTTGCGTCCGTTCCGATTGCTTTCTAATTCGTTTTAATAGGCGCGAAAAGGAAGTTCTTCTGTTTCGTGAAGAACCGATAACTGGTAACGATCAGGTGATTTCCGGTATATATATATATATATTTTTTTTCTTTTTTGACTTGTTGAGACACGGTTTTAAGAATACACTACTTTGCAAGATAACGTTATAAAAATTATAATGAAAGTTTGACACAGTAGTTTCCAAAGAGTAAAGATTCGGAATTGTTATTGTCTAAGTTATTAGAAAATGATGGATATTTTCTGATCAACGACGAGTTTCTGATAAAAATTAGGGATGAAGTTCCGGATGACCCCCGGTGGCGAATTGACATGAAATTTTGAACGAATGAAGGAAAATTCCAAATATTTCTGAGATGTTATGTACTAATTTCAAATATTTCTGAGATGTTATGTACTAATACATAGTCCTCGCTATAGTAATTCTAATCGGTGACTGTCGAGTAGCCACCAAAATCATTTATTGCAATTCCATGGATTCAGACTGGATGATGTATGATGGGAAATTTCAACATTAAATTTCGTCACTTATTTAATCACACATATTGTGCTCAAAGTAGAGGAGTATCACTTTATTTGTCAATATATGAATCAATTTATTAATTAATATTTTGAACAAGGATTTTGATCCTTCCAAATTCCGGTGGTCAGTGAAGTATGTAGCACGAATCCAAACTTAACTTCTATTTTTACAGCGAGTAATTTAAAAAAAAGAAAAAGTTGGTACTCGAAAACCACACTAATTGTAGATGGAACACCTCATGTAGATATTGCCATTGTGACGTAACATGTCATCAACGATGACAACTGAGACTGTTGTATGCGGAATTCAATGTGCCGAAAGATTTTATTAATATCTCGAAAATTAATAAATATTTATAAGTAAGGTTTTGAGGCCCTTCATCCCTTCGCAATATCGACTTGCCACGAAAAATCTTTGGAATTATAGCCAAAATTAGGCCTAATTTATCTGGTCAGTTTGTACTCTCGGAACTACAGCCCAAAATCGGGCCCAATTTCTACTCTAGCAACAACATGCTTATATCTCCATGTTCCTTATTTCATATCTTATTCCAGTTACGTTTTATCCTTTTCTCGAAGTCGGCGGTGATTTCAATTAATGCAAAACTGAGCACGTACGATCGAACGAAACCAAGGGATGGGAACCTCTTATGCGCATCTTCAACAAGGAAGCTGAAGAAGTTGGGATCGAACAGTGTCAGTGATAAAATTTCGATTCACGTTACGCTCAACCTTGTCTACTGCTGATTCTTCGCAGGCTTGT